TATATATAGGCTAATACCTTTTTTTAATCACCCAATCCTAGCCACCCAACTAATTAGATGCAAATATTGATGAATACTTAACTAAGATAACATGACAATGCTGTTTGTAAAGTCCTTCATTAGACACAAATAAACTATATTAAAAAGCATATTTGAAGAATAAGTTATTAAGAGTAAAAAGTTATCAACTAATCCTTTCATACTGTTCAGCAAACAGATTAACTGTACTCTTTCTTACCAGTAAAGCTGTGCATTTTCAACAAAAACTTGAAGCCTAATCTATTCTTATACTTGCTAGGCAGTTGGGCTGGTCTCAAGGAACTCTCCTCTCACTGGTAACCCTGAAAAGTAGCAAACCAAAAAAACAGATGTCTCTTACTGTTATCAACTTCAGCTATATTTGATTTTCAATGGATAACAAGGGCCAATTTGATCCATATAGGTTATTACTTACTTCCACCCTACTCCGAAAATCATATAGAAATCTCACCCCCTTTTTTGTACATCACTCTTACCTCTTAACTACTCTTCTTTTAAATCCACCTCTAATAATTTTAAAAACTTAAATCAGGTCTTCTGATGCCCTTTTCATCTCCAGTGAAAACATTCCAAAGGATTTCTATCCATTTTCACACACTAAACCTTCCAAACCTGGAATAATCCTGTACTTTCTCCAATGACGTTAACATCCTTTTTAAATAAGGTGGCCGAAGCTGAACACTTCTACATAGTAAACAGTAGTACTAGTAATAATATTCTTACTATTACTAGTACTACTATATAATAATTACTATTATTTATTAATAATATTAATCGTAACACCAACACGGCGGGGAAGAGTATGTACTTTGGTAAATATATGGGATTTAGACACTACATTACCTCAGGCTCAACTTCTGAAATGAAAATCAATTCCATTTAGGAGTCTTATTCTAAATTTAAAAACGTTAAAAAGAATGAGGAACAAAATAGGTAAATACTAGTAATTCGTAATACATTTTCAAATATGAATATTTCTTTGGATTATTAAGAAATAGATCATGTGATATTACCAGTTGTTTGTTGTGATTTTCGCCCTCTTGTGCTTTTTTCAGAAAACATTTCCTTTAATCATTCTGTATGAAAAAAATATAAAATAAATAAATATAAACGTTTGAAAAAAGAAAGACAGCTGCACCAGTTAGAATTATACAAGTTGAACACGTTGAATAAGACCAAACAAAAATTACATTAGTTCAGTAAAAATAAATGCAACTCAGGTCTCAGGTAAAAAATGATGTAATTCATAACATTATACGCGCGTGTGTGTGTATGTGTATAAAGCTAAACGATACACAAATGAAACTAATGATATTTCTGAGTCTAGAACAAATACATTAGTATAATATTAAACAAAGTACATTTAACCTCCATGCTTTGACTATGTTAGAGATCTACTCGAAAATAATTTTGGGGTATTTAGAAAGTTCGATTAAAATATATCCTTGAAAAGACATAATCAGAGGGGAAAAAAAACTGCTTATTAAGTTTCGACAAAAATCACACTAAACAATGATTTTAATCCAACTTATATTTTTCAAAACACACCGTAAGATAGTGAATTCAGTGTTAAAATATATTCTCCTGAATCAGTTATTCATACTTTAAAAAAGGCACAGTCTTTCAGAAATACTATTCGCGAAAAATCTTTGATTTAATTTTTAATTACATTTTAAATATCCTTATAATACACAATATATTCACCACAATAATGATAATTTAAGTAGGTGTAGCAATAGGTGTTGATTATTAAACTTATAATTGATATTTATGGGTGAGAGGTACTTAGGCTCATTTCCATCATGTATGATATAGCGATCCAGTGTGTGTAAATAGATCATTTTTATATAGGTTTTTCTTGAAGTAGGTGAATAATCTGTTTAGAAGTCTGTCATAGTGTGGTTATATGTTGTCATGGTTATGTAGAAAGCGAGAGTTTGTTGTCCGTGGAACTATATAAGCACTTCTAATTATTGCGTTTTGTAATTCTTACAGTTTAGTTGTTATTTTCTTAGGTGCTATATTTTTCCACGCCGGACTGGCGTATTCGATCAATGGTCTTATGCATTGTTTACATATTTTAAGTATGTTGTTGGGTGTTATTATATCCAGACAGACTTCTGACTTGGTTCACTCGTCTCAAGATTTTATTTGAAATTTCACTAATATGCTTTTACCGAGTTAATTTTGTATCATAAGTAAGGCCAAGAAACTTTACTGATGTAGCAGTCTGGAGGAGTGTACCATGGAGATATAGTTCTGAGTTGTTTTTGAGAAGTTTTTTTTAAATTTACAAGTATGAGTATTTGTGTTTTTGGTATATTAATTTTTATTCTTTTCTTTTGCAAGTATTCTGCTATTTCATTTAAAGAAGGTTGTAGATTTGTGGCCGCTATGAAGGGTGTTTATGTTCGAAAGTGCTGGAACAAAACTTGACTTCAAATTATAATTTTCTATAATTTGCCCTCTAACTAACAAATAAATTACAACATTAAAAATATAAAGCTTCCAACATTATTATACTGTAAAACAGTGCAGTTGAATTGCTTTATGATACTGTACGTTGTGAATCATATCATTAAAAATGCAGCATCAATGGTATAACTTTTGTTAAAATATTTATATAATATAAAATAATACTTACTGCTTACACATGTCTACTTACTCGTTTTCTTGACATTTATCGCAATGAATGTAGGAAGTCTTACGATTTTGCAACGAATTAAAAGTCTCAAAGTGGGTTCCTCGTCATCGAATTTGAATTAAAAGTTTACCCAGCGATGAAATCCTAAAACTTGGCTTAGCATTAAGAAATAAATTCCTAACGTTTCACCACGAAACTAATCCAAATATTTCAGTAGCTTACAATTTAGAATAGTATAAATCTTGCTTTAAAATGCACGTTTCCGGACTTTCTCTTAAAGCAAAATGAACAAAATATTGTCATCTAATTATTGTAATTATACTTATCTCTACTAGATGCCGCAACAGTCACATGGCCTTTACTGAAATTAAAGTAAAATCACACGACAAAAAAAAAGTGTTAAGACTTTTTTATAAGGCTAGTTTGTTTGTTTTTAAGCGATGGGCTATCAACGCTCTGCCCAAACGGGTATAGATCGCAGTTCCCTAATTTTAGGGCTATAAGCCCTAGAATTTACCGCTGAGTCACGAAGGATGAAGGGGATTTACAAAGTCACTTTGAAATACAAATATAACAAGACTACCAATTTGGCAGGATCTCACATAAACATTATTTACGACTGATGTATGTTTCTATTCATCTTTTTTGTAGCTTAAGAGACATTTTTGCTAAATATTTATTACTAATTTTACAGATATTTAAAAAAAAAAATGGCTTGTTTGAAATTTTAAAATTAAAAAATCCCAAATTTTGTTTAGATTTAAAAAAAAACATTTGTACCTACCTACACAAAATTTAAATAAAACATGACACATATTTTAAAAAATAACAATATATAAAATAACACAAATAATACACTTATGACAAGTACACGGGTTAGGTAGTTAACAGGACTTCTTCTAAATTAGGGCTGGACGTGGATCAGTGGTTAGAATGTCTAAACGGGGAATTAAATGATTCAGGTGCGCAATCAATTGCGCGAAAACGCCCTCCTCATTTTGGGATCCAGAGTGTGCGCTATATAATTGTGACAGCTAACTATTCAATCAGACAATTCAGTTCAATTTAACACAAGACAAAAGGATGCCTTCTCTCTAGTCTATTAGTTCAAAAGTAAGGAAGGCTATGCGCATATACAGTAGTTCATATGTAGCTTTGGAACAAATTTCTAATACAAACAAGGAAATATTCCTGAATTCTGTTTTAGCTTTTCTCGGATAAATACAGAAGTAATTAAAATAATCTAAGTAATGTTCTTTTTTTTTAATGAATAAGAAGGAAATCGACGATTAAAATTATTATCTTAATATTGCTATCTTCAAATGGTTAAAATAAAGATTTGAGATGCTTACTTAGATAGTACCTACCCGAAGACTTATAAGGCTAAAAAATCGGATTTCGATACTTGCGGTTGATAAAGCACAGACGGCTTATTGCATAGCTTTGCGCTTAACAACAAACCAAAGTTTAAAATAAAATAACTTAGGTTATTCCTATAAACGTAAATAAAATCATGACCCTAATTAGGGAACTTGTAGGATATCGATAGCTCCTGACGAAGCTGTAATAGCGAAATATTGAGCTAATAAAGTTAGAGGTCGTGATTTCATTTAC